AAAGTTCTGTCTTCTGTACAGGGTGTGCTGTTTTTAAAGGAATACTGTAAACTTCAGAAAATAATAACCGAATTCTACAAATGACAGGGACCCGTCAAATGTTTTCGTGCTTTTTATTTTGTTGTTAGCAGAGCAAAAAGAAAGTTGAACTTGGAAGCAGTGATGATGATCCTGTGCTGGACCCATCATTAGTTTTGACCTTTCTCCTGTATGATAGCATAAAGCTATAATAGCTGTTTCCCTAGTCTTGTAGCATTCATCGTAGGGGTCATCCATAACAGTTGATGCTCACAAATGAAGACATGACGTGTGTGCTGCCATGTGGTTGAGGAAGTCTCGTGTGAATCTGTCACAGAGACTGGCTTTCTGCGAAACGTTTTGGTATTGCCTGTTAAGTTAAAGATGCCCCATCTCATGATTTGTAATGCATTCCTCAGCATAATCCTACAGATCTACACTTTGCTTCTTATCCTGTGACAAACTTCTTTTGTACACATTTCTATCCACTTTTATAAGCAGACAAGAATCTTTGCAGTTTGACTGGATGGATAGAATTAATGGCTAAAGGGAACTTAACAATCTTTAGAATAGGCAACAACCTGGGGGAAGGGCACATCTGAGTTGTGCAGGAAATAGTAAATAGAAAGACCACTGCAGCAAGCCTTGTAAACTGAAGATTTGACAGAGCAGTTAGGCTGTGATGCTGCCAAAAAGGAGAGGAGAAAGGAGCTACCTGAGGGCAGCTCTCACGTTGTTAAAACTGTACATTTAACGTCTATGCCAAGGCCACAAATGTCAACCTGGCCTGATGTGGAAAAACAGCTGCTATGGGATGAAACCCTGCTGTGCCGTAAAAAGAGAGTTCATGCATTGGTGATGTTAGGTTATGTGTGCTCAGCCTGTGTAGTTCTTTCTCTTAGTGCAGATTTTGGAGGTTGGGGAGACAGGCTGTCTCAGTACTTACACTGCATTGAGATTGGTGAGTCCTAAATGGTGTTCGAACAAGAGTTTCTGTTCAAAATACATTGAAAGAGGGATCAGTTAGTTATTGACTAGTGCTGGGAGTTGATTTATTGTAGTTTTGATTTATTTTCTTAACTGGTAAAATATGTTTTTGTCAGTTCTGAGAAGGAATAATAAAAACAGGTTTGGTAGAGCTTTTATGTAAAGCAGCAGCATTCTAAGTATTGTTGTTATTATTATTAGTAGTAGTAGTAGTAGTTAGTGTTACTGTGATCTAAATGTGGGGTTTTTTTAAATGGTCTTTTTTCTATTTTCATGGAGTCACATGTTTCTATTTCAATGCAGAATGGTGAAAAGTAGCTCTATTATTAAGGTTTGATTACCAAAAGGCTCTGTTTCTGCATATACTTTGGTTCTCTGTAGAAAGATGCTGTTCTGTTTGTGCAGATTGATTGAGGGTGAGGGCTCAGTGTTGAGTTCCAGGTCATCATTGCGTCAGAGACTTTGATTCCCTTAGGATTGTGTAATGACAAGAAAAAAACATTGGTGATGTCACCTCTTCTCACTAGCAGTTCAGCAACCGCCAGGCTTTTGTGGTAGATGCTTTCATCTTTTAGGAAGGAAAGGAAGGAAGAGAAGGAGGGAGGGAGAGTATTCCTTCATCTTCAGTATGTAACCTGTAGTTTTAACATAGGTTAGAAAGGCCAAATGCAACCTGCCTTTATGCTAAATTTTGTTGTCATGTGTTGGTTAATGTATCTTTTTCCAGCTGAAGCTGGTGCTCAAGAGAAGGATGTCTTTTAAGTAGGCTGTTGGGGGGATGTTGAGAACTATGTTATAAACTTTTTCTAAGGGGACAGTGTGATGCTAGACCCAGAATGTCCATTCACTGTTGGCACTCTTCTCTTACATTTCACTGTTTTCTGTCAAGTTGAGTTTGAATACATTAAAACATTTATGATATAATAAACCAGCATATTATGAAGATACGAAGAGAAAGTATTTTGCAACTAGTAGAACTTACCTTGCTTTTCTTTAAACCTTTGGTGGGCTGGTGAAATGGGGAATAAAGATTAGTATATTTTTATTTCAGTTAGCTTTTTTCATTTAACTTTGAATCAACTCATTAACTGATGAAGACATGTTTAAAAAAGTTGGAAATGAGGCATGTATTTTCTACAGCAGCAAGAAAGGCCAGTACTCACAAAAGCTGGCTTACCAGTTCACAGAAATAGTGGCAGGGTTTGCTTTTTGTTTTAGCTCATTTACTAGTGATTTCTACTTGTTCATTTATATTGACTTTCTCCTCAGCTTTAGTAGCCAGTATAAACTTTTTTCCTGGGTTTATATTTGGAACCTTCGTAGTAATAATAATTTAAATCCAAAATCACACTTTATTACTAAGTATAATTTGCTTTAACTATTCTCTGTTTAATTAAAACCTGGTATTCCTGAATCTTAAGAATTCCTTTTTGGTCCTACTAGTAGAATGTAAAGAAGAAGAGTTCAAAAGCAGTGGGTTTTGTTTGTTTGTTTGTTTGTTTCCTTTTTTTGGTTGGGTTTTGTTGGTTTTTTTCATTCAGTTCACCTTTATGTTTTGGTTGTAATTTAAAGTTTACTTGAAATGTTTAGTTTCTTGCTGTGATCTGGCTTTTCTAAGTGGAAAAACAGATGTGTACATTCAAAAGACAGCCTTGAGAACATAATTGTAACTTATAAATAAAAGAATAGGTCTGTTAACTCATTATGAAAGGGTAAGATGGGGTGTGAACTTATAGTACATTTACAGTGACTGCCATGTACAAATGTTTTCCTGTGATAAAAGTAAGTTGTTTTATTCTTTGAAAAAGATTTATAAAACTCTCTTGCACTTTTCGTATTTTCTGCTGGCTGAGAGCAGGCTTTCCAGAGCAGCTGATATGGTAAATTCATATCCTCCTGTACCCTGAGGTAATTCAGTTGTGCACATGTATCTAACATTATAGTAATATACTTAAGGTCAAAATTTAAAAGATGAAGATAAGTTTATGTAGTATAATAGCATTACAGTGAGACCAATCCAGTACAGGTACTTGTATTTTATAGGTACCATCTTCAAGAGTCAAGCTAAGAAAGTTGTTATTCTTATTACAAAACAGGTGATGTTAAAATGAAATTTGTTGTGGCTAGGAGCTGAGATGTAGGAGTCTTACAAATCAGACTGTTTAACAGGATCGTTTTCTTATGTTCTGGAGCTTGTGTGTAGCAGTCTGGCACAGTCTGAGATGGAAGATTCAGGAGTAACCCTTTAGAGATAAATTTATTCCCAAGTCTTAAATACCTGCATGAGGTTTTTTAACAGTCTGCTGAAAACCTTCAACTGTTTACATATGTAAATGAAAGATTATTAGATATAATTTTAACACATAAATGTATCAATGATTTGCAATGTAGCTCAAAAATCCAGTGTTTGCCTTTAGCTGTAAGTCTTTGGGAATAGCTCTTATGTAATATTTCCACTAGGTTCAAAAACTTAAATTAATTTGTGCTAAAGTCTCTCTCTTCTTTCTGTCTTGTTCTAGGATGTTTTTGTATTTAGACATGAACTTGCTCTCCTAAGAATATCTGCCTTCATGGGTCTAATAATATTAGGTGGAATAAGTGGACTCTTTTACACTCAGCTAATGGGTATTTTCACTGTAAGTATCTAATTTTAGAAGTATATATTAGCTTAATTTTAAATAAAATTAATAAAAGCGGAAAAGCAGATTGCATTTAAGGAAAGAATAGAGAAACACTTGCACTGTGAGGCAGCTATTTGGTATGTGTTCTGTCAAGACTCTTGACTCCAAGGAAGTCTTAAGAAGCCCTCTAACAAACAAGTGTCTAATAATTCACCTCTCAAGGCAATTTTCTGCTTTGTATTAGTAAAATAAAACCATACATTGTCCTGGAATTGTGCCGTGTACAAGGTATGTATTTGTGGGTTTTGGTTTGTGTTCTTATTGTAAACTCTTATATGCTCTGGACTCAATTATACTTTGTGACAGTGAGGCCCACTGATAAATTATACATTCTGAGACTTTTTGTTAGGTATTCTAATAAATATGCTTATTTTCATATCTCTTCAGTTACAAAACTGTGAAATGGGTTATTGTACACTTTTACAGTCCAAATGCATATTCTGTATTTAAAGGTACAGAAAAAGAATCCTCTGAGTGGAAAAATTTTCCAGTTGAATTAATTTGGTAATATAATAAATATCTACAAGTAACAAGCTTTTGTTGCTCTAACATCCTGTTCTCTCTATATTAGATGTTTATCACTGCAGTGAATTCTTTAATGTTATCTTGAGAATCTATGGAAGTGTGTGAAGTACTGCAGTATTGAGTAGAGTACATCAGTTGCATTGTACATGTCTGAAAAGGTGTATGATCTGGCCTGTAAAACTGTTTTTTGTAGACAATAATGTACAAGATGACAGTATCTTTGTGCCTATGACTGCCTGAGATCTGCCCGAGTTTTCATTCTGCGATTATGAGGGTTTACACAGTATTAACCTTTGTAGGTGCATAATGAAAAACCTCCTAACTGAATTTTGTAATTCCTTTGAATGGAATAAAGGACAAAAATTACTGCATAGTTTTTTCCTTCTGATAAATCAATTGCTTATTGTTTTTATTGTATTACTGTTATGTTAGTTTACTCTGTTCTGCTCTCTACGTGACTGTAGCTATGCTGCATGTTATTTTTGCCATCCTCCAGCTGCTGCACCAGACTGCTTTTTGCACTTTCTGACAACCCTCAGGTCTACAGATTTATCTTTGTACCCCTTTACTGTTAGCCTGATTTCTGTTTCATCATCTTGCTGACAAGTTCTTACCTCCCTGTTTAAATGCTGGCACACAGTCTTTGTGTCTGTGTGCTCTAGACTCGGTATTTATTTCTAATCCAGTATTTTGTCTTGCTGGGTATCTAGCTGAAGTGGTGCAGACTTCTGAATTCTGTTCACCCGCACTGCCAGCAGGGGGAGAGGAAAAAACTCAGGGAGCCTTAGAGTTCAGATGCTGAAACATGGGTGTCTTTTTTGTCTCTGTTAAATGGATATATGAAAAGAAACAAAAAGCCATGTGATTGCTAGCACACTTAAACACAGAAATGATACAGAAGAAAACAAGGAACAATACCTGAGTCTACCATTCAGTTCTGTCTGCCGCCAGAAGCTGGACTAAATTTTGGCAGTGACCATCAGCATCTCTTCAGGTACTATTAATATACATGAAATAAAAACTCTCAAACCGAACCTGATTCTGTCAGACACACCTGAAACAGGACATTTCTTTTCTGGCGCAGGATTCCACTTGTGCTACCTCTGCAACAGGCATGAATTCCCAGTATGTTCTTTCACTGTTCTGAGCCTTAACACTGTCAGACTGCTACCACTGCTGCAACCTCTTATAAAGTGCTGTAAAGCTCTGTTATTCTATGTCAGTTGTTATGATATATTGTGAAGTACCTCCTGTTGCCCTTACTGAGCTGGCCACTACCCTGGAACAGATGTGAGCTAATAGTGTTTCCAAGTCCAACCTCCTCTTACGTGCTTAGATCATAGTTCTGTGGATCACTGAGCTGCAGTATGCATGGATGCTCTCTTTTGTCCTCTTTGCCAAACTTTGTTAAACAAACACGCCACAGTAATTGTGGATATGGATGGACTATGAGAAGCAGATGCTGGAAACTACAGATCCTTTGCATTAGGGCCTCTCAATGCACTCTACCACTAGAGGGGGGCTATTTGACTTACCTAATATAGACAAGGTTTTACAGGGTTTGTTGGGTTGGGATTGCTGGGGAAGTAGAAATCCAGTACTGGGTTCTCCAGACTCTTAATTCGTTCACACTACATGGATGGATGCTGTTGCATTGACTCATTGAAGAACATAGTTCATCTGGTCCATTCCCCACTCAAAGTATTTCCATACCAGCAGCACAGTCGCCTTCTTCCTTTTCATTCCTTTCTTCATGAGTATAGAATTGGCAAGAATAAACGGTGCAATAATTCTGAGGAAATCTGTCTGTGAACAGCTAGTCAGACTTTCAGCAAGCAAAGCCAGATCTGTTTGGTGAAGTTGTGCTTAGTCTGCAAGTTGTGTTAGAAAATCTGTACAAATGGTGTTTGATTGTCAGCATTGGCGATTTGCTTCCTCCACAAGCACTTACTAACAGCTTTGTCTAGTCAGTGGCAGAGGAGGAGGCAGCAGGTGAGTGAGTAGTTTCTCTGCAGGCTTCCCAAACGCATGCCTGTGATGCACAGAATAGGGAAACAAAGAAACTGGCTATACCCACTCACGGCGCCAAGTGCAGAGTAGAAGGCTTTTAAGTCCTGTAGAAGCAATGAACCACAATTGCTGAGAGACTAGGTCACTAGGAGCAATGTTGCTACTGTGTACTGTCCTGGGGTTAACTGTTCAGCATCTAACCTTCTCTGTCTTTCAGTATCTTCCACATACACAGAATGTGCTCTGCTTACTTGGTCTCACAGAAGCAACTTGGGATCATTTCACTGGGATGATGAAACTACAGAGTTGTTCATCCTCTAACATCTTCAGTAATAAGGAACTAGGACCTGAAATGACAACTTGGTCCATTATTTGTGTTTGATTTCCGCAATCTGATGGCTCTGCTCAAATGTAAATGATTAGAATGCAGCATACATGATGAAGTGTGGTTTGTACCCTAGGTCAGAGGACTCATGCTGATTCTTATTACAGAAGTTTATCTTCTTCCCGCTGCAGCAAGATAGATGAAGTTGAATGTATGAAATTAATTTGCATTAAGTGATCTTTGTGTATATAGCATTTTTATAAGCAGAGTTGCTTTTTACTAGAATTGAGCTAAGTGATAGCTTGACAAACCATAAAAACAAAAAGAAGTTTTTCATAGGATTCTCAAGGGAAACACTGGCATTTTCTCCTTTTTGATAGACTTTTTCAGAAGTCAAAAAATGTTGTCCAGCTGAATATGTAATGGAAAATATATATACTCCAGCATGTTTTTCTGGAAGGAGGAAGTAGCTGAAACAGGAAAGCAAAGCAGCACATGATGAAGTGCAGGTGAAATACCCTGCTGGGTGTGCTGGCACTTCCAGGATTCCGTTCTGTTGTGCAGTTGACTGATATTCTCTGCCTATCATTGCATAACTCTCATTGGTTATAACCATTATGTAAAAAAATTTTAAGAAAAATGCATGTAATGTGCTCTTACCGTGTTTCTTGTGTATTCAACAGGTACTGAGATGCTTGGAAAAAATGTACTCTCTGGTAAAAATGAAAACTTTCTAACTCATATACTCAGATATGGGTCTTATGCAGAGAATGTCCTTCAGTCTGTACTGCTCGAGAAGGTTATTAATAGACCAAGTTACCTAACATGCAGTAATTTATTTGAGTAGGTTTACCACCTCTCTTACTGTGGTATCACTGTTAGGGTATAATTAGCACAAGACTATTCGTATCTCATCTGGAGATCCAGGAAGCCAAAGAGCAAGGGAGGTGACTTCCTATGGTGAAAGGAGAACAGCTGGTTGGCAAAAAATATCCTTAGAGGAACTTTTGACATGAATTGTTCTGATGAAGAGGGGAACAGCTGAGGTGGCCTCTATACATGGGATTAGTGCTTTCTCCCTAGAAACTAGCATATGTGAAATACACTTCTAGCAGAAGGGGCACATGGCTCTTTTCATTCTCCTTCTCCAATTGCTTTTCCCAAGATCCGTTTGCCTTTACTTTCATAATCCTCCTGAATTTTAACACTTCTTCTAGCAAGTACCAGAGATCGCTCTTGGGGAACTTTTATTTGGGTACTTTTGGAAATAGAGGTATCTAAGTTCTCTCTAATAAGTTTTATTTATTTCAGAAGTCTCTGAAACAGGGAGAAATTTGAGATCCTAACTTAAGAACTCTAGGATCCTAAGATACTCTTGTAATCTTAGCATAACAATTAGTCTTCTTATAATTTTCATGTTTTTAGCAAAGTGGGTGGAAAAGAAGCAGTTTCACCCCTGAAGAAAGCCCCATCTGCTGTAATTTCCAAAATGATCATGCATTTATATTGAAGGCCTGCTTATCTTCCATGCTTAATGCTTGCTTTTTCAGTCCTCTATTCCCTGTCATTGCTTGTAGTGCAAGCTTGAATTTTATATTTAACTGGAACTGAGCCTGTATTCTTACATTCCAGGCACCATGGTGTTTTTTAATGACTTTGCTTGAGAAGTAAAAGCAAGCTTAGCATAAAAAAGGAAGTAAAAAACCCACAAAACAAAAAAATATTTTTATTAGTTGCATGCTAGAAAAACTAAATGTTCTCCTACTGAGAATAACTTTTTTATTTTTTTGTTAAATTATTGCTTCGCCTTACTGCAGACTGCTTCTAACTGCTTCTACTCCCACAAGCAATTATATCTTTTTGCCACTACAGGATTAGAAAGTAGATCTAGTACAGACAATTTCAAACTCCATGGAGGTGGCTAGGTATTTTTTTATTTGGTGGTTTGTCCTAAAATATGACAAATACTATTTATAGATAATTACCATAGATAGATTGCTCCTTTTCAGAAAGTTTTTAATTTTTCCACCAAAACATACAGTCTTGTGCAACTACTACCTGTACCTGTTAATGATAATGGTAAATGCAATGTTTA